ATCAAGTTGTTTTTGGTAAGGCCCTTGAACTAATTCGAGAGAAAAAAAAAGTAAACATCAGGAAAGTGATTTGAATTGGACAAAGAAGAGCATTTTCTTCGAATTGCCATATTGGAAAACCTTGAAACAACGACATAAGCTGGATATCATGCACATAGAGAAGAATGTATGTGATAATGTGCTTGGTACATTAATGAATATTGATGGAAAGACTAACGACAATTGGAAGGCTCGTAAGGATTTGATGGCAGTGGGCCTAAGGCCGGAATTACACCTTCGTTTTGAAGGTGATAAAGTTCTTATGTTGTCTACATGTTACCAGTTATCCCATAATGAGAAGAGAAAAATATGTGAATTCTTAACTTCAATCAAGTTTCCAGATGGGTTTGCCTCAAACATTTCTTGATGTGTGTAGATAAAAGAGTGGTATTTCTGGATTGAAGAGTCACGGCTGTCATATTTTCCTTCAACGGATACTCTCAGTGGCAATACATGGATCCTTGGGTAAGGAAGTTTGTCAGTCATTAGTTGAGCTCGGTAGTTTTTTCAAATAGTTATGTTCTAGGACGTTGTACTTGGATGTATTGGAGAAACTTGAAAGGCAGATTGCTTTGACATTGTGCAAACTTGAACATTTATTTCTCCCAGCGTTCTTTGACATAATGGTAAACTTAATGATTCACCTTGCTAAAGAACCCAAACTTGTTGGACCAGTCCAATACGAATGGATGTTCCTGTTTGAAAGGTATTTAATAATTTATTTATTAGGTGATTACTTAAGCAACAATCATGTTTTCCTTTTTCAGTTGTGTCTTAATTCTTTTGTTATGTATATTGATAGGCAAATGGAGAAACTAAAGGGATATGTACTTAATACGGCTCGGCCAGAGGGGTCGATTGTGAGCATTACATTGACAATGAATGCTTGAATTTTTGCTCTATGTACTTGGGTAATGTTGAGATGAGATTCAATCAAGCTAAACGGAACTATGATGGAGATGCAAAGTTGACCGAGGTGTCTATATTTGCATATAATGGTCATGCATTTGGTGGGACCATATATGAAGAGGTTCGAGATTTTATAGTGTAAGTTTAATTTTCTAATTAATGATATATACTTAATGTATAGCGAGCATTTTAAAATTTTATTGCTTGCTTATTAGATTTATGCCTTGGTATTAGCTAATTTTGGGTCATAATGATATATACTTAATGTATAGCGAGCATAAGAAAATTCTAAAAACGAGAGTACAAGGAACGTTAATCAAAGGCATAACTCACAGTTTTCTAAATGGTTCAAACAATGTGTAAGTGCACTTTGAAATCTACCTATTTTTGTTGCTATTATCAAAACAATGTGTATTTGATTATTTTACTAGGATTCTATTGACAATTTTTCACTTCTATCTATGGGTTAAAAAATTGTATTATGAAGGGCGTGCTAGCAAAGAACTTTTGTCTCTTGCCAAGGGTCCTAATATTCGAGTGAAACACTATACGGGTTGTAATGCAAATGGGTTTAGGTTCCACACTCAAGATCGTGTGAGGAAAAGGAAAACACAAAATAGTGGGGTGGTCGTGGAAGGAGAACATGATGGGAGGGTGATAGACTTCTATGGCGTGATCATTGAATTTATTGAGTTAGAATATCTACATATGGATTTCAAGTTATTCATGGTGACGGACCTTTAACGAGGTTCCAAAGACTGTGTAATGTGTTTAAAAAGAATTCTTTGAGTCATTTTTTGATTCAAAGTCTTTCTTTAATCATTTATTGGCAACTGTGGAAGGAACGCTATAGAAGGTGGGCTGGTGAAGGTTAGCTTTATTCTTATTCCCTTTTTGTTAGAGTTTGCAGTATTCTGCGTTATCAAGGGAAGAATTTTAATCATAAGGCTAAAGATGATGTTGCTGGGAGGGATTTTTTGCATTTTTTACAGATTGATTCATCTTATTCTGTTGGTTGGAAGGGTTTTTGGGTTAAATGGGTTAGTCCTCCTGGTGGGCTTTTGAGGCTAAACACAAATGGTGCTTCAAGGAGGAATTCTAGTTTGGCAGGTGGTGGTGTTGTTATAAGAAATGAATGGGGGAGAGTGGTATTGGCTGCATCTTACTTTTATGGAGAGTGCTCGAATATGCCAACTGAGTTTAATGCCTTGTATGATGGACTTCAGCTGGTTATATAGTATGGTTTATCATGTTATGAATTCGAAATTGAATGTGATTCTCAGATTTTGGTAAAAATTGTCTTGGGTTCTTGTGAATGCCCTTGGCAATATCTAGGTATCTTGAGGAAGATCAAAGCTATTTTAAATGGTTTACAGTTTAAATTAGTTCATATACTTCGTGAAGCAAACTCGGTGGCTGATAGACTAGCGGATCAAGCTGTGCTGTCCAAGCAGTCTGTGGACTATTGGTTGTTTCTTGTAATGTTTTGTTTTGTGAATAAATAAAATTATCTTTTTCCAAAAAAAAAAAGGTACAGCTCAATCAAACTACAATAAGGTAAAATATATTTACAAACTTGTAACCTCACATTTTGTAGCAATTTGGGATCAATTTTAAGTGTCACAACTAATTTACGTGTCTGTTTGGAGGCACAATGGTATTTCAGAGTGAAGCTGGTAATAGAAGGGAAAGAGAGTGAGGATATATTTCAACTTTTCCGAAACACTCTTGCAAGCCAGGCCCTTGAATGATTAGTTGATTAGTGGTGCGGGATCAAAATATAATATGATCCATTAATATGGTATGAATATGACACGATTTTACAGTATTTGACTCTTCCTTAAGCTACCTGTTTTGGAAACGAGTGGAGTTGACATTAATAAAAAAATCAAATATGAGTAAAGCTAATAAAAACATACACGACTTATTTATATACCAATTATACACCACAAAATCCCGATATGACCAAATTCATTGAACATGAATTAAAAAGAATTAGGTGTGGGTAAAATATTTTTTAACAGGAATCCATTAAGACCTAACACACACCTGCTTCACTTAAGATGATTGACAAGTTTAATTACCAGTTGTAGCGTTTCCTCAAGTAATTTGTTGGGCTGCTTACCCAAAAGAACTATATGTTGGGCAAATAAGGCTGGACCATCCGTAAGATGAACCCAAGAATAGTTTTGTACCCGGGAACTATAGTCCAAACAGAAACATTCGGACCTTTTTCTTTGGGTCTAATCCACTTTGAACAAATCAACGACACGAGTGCGTTTGAGATGATTTACGAAATCTTATAAATACTTTTTCCATAAGTGGCTATCAAAAGTGTTTTATAAGAAAAACACTTTTATTAAATAAGTATTGTTTGAATATTCAAAATCAAAAATGCTTAAATTCAAGATATCACAGCATGAGCAATAAGCAATTTCATTGACTCGTCCAAAAGATGGGACATACATTTACCACATCATTAGATTATAACTACAAACTTGCACACCACTCAAAATAGTGAAAGTAATCCCAAACAATTTTTTTTTTAAGAAAAGGACTTATGATAAGTCAAAAATTCTATAAGTTCCTTTTTTTTAAGTCATCCCAAACACATTTGTTTCAACTCCTCATTTTCAATAACTATTGAATGATTATGAAATTAATTCAAGAAAAAGGTTAAAGTGGACAAATCAATTACATTTTTTTTAAAAAAAATTTGGAGGGTTGTTGAGTGATTATAAAAAGAAGAATTAGAGAGAACCACTCGGACAAATCAAATCCATTTGAAAAAATAATTTTGGATGGTTGTTGGGAGATTATAGAAAGAAGAATTTGAGAGAAACAAAGTCATGGTAAACAAATCAACTACATTTAACAACTATCATCTCGAATGACTGCTGACAGAAAATTGAAACTACTCGAGAAAAAACTGGTCAGAGTGGAAAAATCAACCCATTTAAAAAGAAAAATCTGGAGTGGTTGTTCAAAGGGCCGGCCCAATAGTCTTAAAAAAAAAGGATGGCTTTAGGTCCAAATTTTTAAAAGGCCTCATAATTGTAGATAAATAACTAGTCCATATAAAAAATTTAAAACTATAAAAATTTTAAGCAATATAAAAAGGTCCAAAAAAATTTAAGCCCAATCAAAAAATTATAATTTCAAGAGATAATGGGATGTGAATACCGTTTATAGAACTTATTTGACTTTAAGTATCACCTTAAAACTTATCCTCCTTTAAGTCCTTTTTTTTATCAAATAGTAGTCAATGAGTACACATTTTCAAATTTTTTTTCAAATGTATTCCATAATTACCCCTACCATAAATAGTGCATACATAATTGACAACTTTTATATTTCCAATATGTAAAATATTGGATGCAAAACTTTCAAGATTCTTTTCGATATTTGTGTTTCATTTGAATTTTGAAATTTCACACACACACACACACACACACACACACACATATATATATATATATATATATATATATATATATATATATATATATATATATTAAACAGTAGCACGATCAACAAAAAAAATAGTAATATCAAACAGTAACACGCTCAATAAAAAAATAGTAAAATCAAACAGTAACACACTCAACAAAAAAAAAAAATTAAATAGTAACATACTCAATAGTAATTATTTGTTGAACATATGGATCATTGATGAACGAATTTCTTACTTTGCGAAAAAAAAAAAAAAAATCATTACAACCACAACTTGGACTTTCCATATTACTCTTATATGGGTCACACTCATTACATTAACCAACCACTACCTTCACTTAACTCTGGTAAACCCTAACATATTAAGAACCACTTTATCGGCACAATGACAAATTACTCAAATTCAATATGATATATTAAATTAAGACAATTAGCCTACATATATAGTTTATTAAAACACCTTAATAATATAATAATACTCTTAAAACAAATTTATTTTTCAACAATCCCTTCCTCCATGTACTGCTTAAACTTCTGACACTAAGACTCGGAGACTTGCAATAATCTTTAACACACTTTGATAATATTGAACGACAAGACTAAGAACGCATTGCGTATATAGTCTGTAAGAAAGTGAGGACTAGAAGCACAACGGCAGCAAACACTGAGGCAGCTTTCCACGGATTCGAGAAATAATCACGGAATAGTTCGAACAAGTAACGGCTGCACTTAACCAGCAGCAGAGCTTTAATTCTGTGACAATCCCACCTGGAGTTGGCATATACATTCACATTCTCGCACAACTCTGTGAAATCGAAGTCTCTAAAAACAACTCCATTGCACATGCTGCTGAAAAAAGTTGAAGCGTCTTCAGCTGTCCCCGGAATCTTTGTTATGATCCCTTTGCCTTGAAGAAATATGATGTCATTGGACGACTGGATGAGTCTACTCATGAGCAAGACATATGAAGAAATGTGGTGTCTTGTGCGAAAGCTGCACTGCTCAAAAGCAATTAGGTTCCTCAAGCGTAAATCCAGTGTTTCATCAATGCTAAAAGGCGGAATCACCAATACGCCTTCATGGAATGATATATCGAGCAAACCACCTTGTGTACCCTTTTCAAACACAATTCCAGCTTCTGAAAGTTTTGTCGCATAATGTCTAAATCCCCACGCGTCATTGTCTTCAGGGTATTTTGCGGAAGACACACAAATGACAGGAATATTAGGTAGGTAAACTTTATGCAACATGTCAAGTAAATGCTTGTCGTCTTCATAGAGTTCCTTGGATATAGATGGCTTTTGTGAATTGTGTACCAGCTGAAAGAAGAGCATAGCAATCTCTGGAAGCGAACAAGAAGATGCTGATGCTAGTGGATCATTAGGTTTACTCTTCGACTTTAAAGTGGCAAACAACGTGAGAATAACAATAAATGGAATTTGGTTCTCGAGGAGGGCCAAATCACGTTGAATGGAAGGGACCATCCAAACATTGTTTGTAATGGGATCGTCTTTGTCCTTGAATTTCTTATCTGAGTACCTCAGAAGAAGTTCAAGAATGAAGCAACCATCAACTAGTAGTATTTCCACCAATGATGCCTCAGCCTCTTTGTAGTAGTTTATCGTATGTCCAGCATAATATTGACAAGCATTTTTTTCTAATTTTGAGATAGCTATGACACACTCACCCAAGTTCTTTTTTGGGTCGGATGTACGACAAAGTAGGCTTAACATGTACCGCCATTTGCGCTCTTCCATAGCTAGCAGGTCACTCTCCCCATGGTGAAAAGGTCCAATTGAGACAATACATGGCCTATATGCATTTTCCTTGAGCTTTCTAAGCTTGCTAGGAACCTTATAAATACTTAAGTTGCTGCTTGGATTGTCCGTCAATTTAGCAAGTTTCCCTGTAATCGGTTTTATCCATTTCCCATGTTCATCAACTTCACTTGTGGAAGGATTGTTTCGTTGCACGGATTCTAAGCTATTCTGTTCGCTGGCTTGGGTTTCCATCTTCTCAGAACCCTCTGCAACAAGTGGGAAAGAAGAAATAAATGAAGGAATTTAAATAGCCCTGCTAGATTTGATTTCTAAGAGATCGTAATTAGGAAATGAAAAAGAACTTGAAATCTTACCGCAGCCACTACGACGTTCGAAGTCCATTGAATTAGGAGAATTTGCAAACGAAATTTTTCAAGGATCGTCGGCTGTACTTCTTTTTTCTTTTCTGCTGGCTCTTTGTTGGGGAACTCGGTTAACTATGTATACTTTTACTTATACTGTTATCCGTACCAGGTTAGCTTGTTCGATGGGCCAAAGTTGGTGGCTTGCCATTTTCCACTATAAAATCTCAAGTTGATTCCACAAGTGCAGAAAAATTACTATATTAGTGTACTGGTAAACTGCATCACCATAATGAAAGGGTGACATAATCAATTAATTAGTGATATGATGTATAAACAACGACTTGTTATCACCATTATATAGAATATTTTCTCCTCCAATAGGCACGTGGTATTCATTGAACAACCACATCCGCACTTCTTGCTAGTTGTATAATTACATCCCCGGTTGATTACAAATTGCGTAACAACCCTCTTGAGTTTAGAGCTTTCACATTGTAAAATTTAGGTTACAATGTGGAAGTGTTGACGATCCAACTGACACAGGAAAAAGGTTACGTCTTGTCTCTTTCACACATTGATGGAATCATAAACATGATTAAGTATAATCATAGAATATAGAATTGATCAATTATTGTTATTGATTTTATTGTGGGTTCCAGTATTTATTAAAATTTATTACTTATTCAATAATTGTAATTAATTAAGTCTATATTTTAAATTCACATTTTAAGTCTAAATAGCATTTCTCCTAACAAAATATATATTTATTTTGGGGAAGCCAAAGTCTTTCTAGTTCCTAGCATGCATGTGTGGCTAGGATTCATTAAACATTTAAAATTGAAGATGGTAGATGATCAAGCACCAAACAAAGGAAGGTTAATGCTCACACAATTTGATTACCTAATATATCATAATTATTGAATTTGTAGATGGTTCTAAGTTTTTTTTTGCTATGAATTGTCTAAACTTGTACTGACAACTCTTATGAACTTTGCGGTTGCCATCGTGACTTAAGCCAATTCCAATTAATACTATAGACCACTATCAATCTAATGACAATAATTTATTGGGTCAATAAATTAAGTATAATTAATATTGTTGAACGAACGTATTTAGGGCCAACTCCTTGAAAGTTGAACCAACCATAATTCGGGGAGGCAATGACTCAAAAGTGATCATTCATTGTATAATGACCAAGTAGCTTAGAGTTCATAATTCATAGACTTTAAATATTGTAGTTCGTGGACTTGATGAAAAGTCTTCCCTTACGTAGTGCCTCTTTCATGAGATCATGACTTCATTTCATAGAAATTTAGTGGTACTACCTACCTCCAAGAAGGATGCATTTTCAGGATCCTCCAAAATAGAAATTTAGTGGTACTTATTTAAAAGTGTCTTTGAGAAGTAATCCCAAACACTTTTTATCTAAGAATAGGACTTATGATAAGTCAAAATTCTATGAGTGCTTTTTTTTAAGTCATCCCAAACACACTTGTTTCATCACTTTCAACAACTGTTGAATGATTATGAAATTAATTCAAAAAAAAGGTTAGAGTGGACAAATCAATTACATTTTTTTTTAAAAAAAGTTGGAGGGTTGTTGAGTGATTATAAAAAGAAGAATTAGAGAGAACCACTCGGACAAATCAAATCCATTTGAAAAAATAATTTTGGATGGTTGTTGGGAGATTATAGAAAGAAGAATTTGAGAGAAACAAAGTCATGGTAAACAAATCAACTACATTTAACAACTATCATCTCGAATGGCTGCTGAATGAAAATTGAAACAACTCAAGAAAAAACTGGTCAGAGTGGACAAATCAACCCATTTAAACCCAATCAGAAAATTATAATTTCAAGAGATAATGGGATATGAGTATCTTTTATACAACTTATTTGACTTTAAGTATCACCTTCAAACTTATCCTCCTTTAAGTCCTCTTTTTTATCAAATAGTTGTCAATGAGTACACTTTTTAAAACATTTTCAAATTATTTTTCAAATGTATTCCATAATTAACCCTACCATAAATAGTACATACGTAATTGACAACATTTATATTTCCAATATGTAAATATTGGATGCGAAACTTTCAAGATTCTTTTCGATATTTGTGTTTCATTTGAATTTTTAAATTTCATACACACGCATATATATAAAATCTCAAGTTGGTGGCTTGCCATTGTCCACTATAAAATCTCAAGTTGATTCCACAAGTGCAGAAAAATTACTATATTAGTGTATTAGTAAGCAGCATCACCATATAGATCCTAATGCAAGGGTGATATAATCGATTAATTATAAAATATCAATCAAGATTAGTGAATCTACTAGTCTAATGAACACTAATAATCACCTCTCACCCACTGATTATGTATTAAATGGAATTCATTAATCTAATATGTTTGTAAACGATGGAGCAATGTTATTGACCTATTTTGTTGACTTAATTCATTATAATCATTGAATTGATTGTACATTCCGTTAAATATTAAAATTTAGTATTAATCCAATAATTACCATAAAAGTACATTATTAAGTCAATAAATCAGATCAAACTTTTATGTCTAAATAACATTGTGATATGTAACCCTGGATTAAATCTTTTCTCTTTCCGGCTTTGTCACCCCCAAATGAATCATGTATCTATTTCCTTCCTAGTTGGATTGTTTGGTACGGTGGTAATGCTATCGAATTAGGAACTATGAGGTTAATTATGATCTTGATTTTGAGAGTAAGCACACTATATGTTAAATTAATCAACAAAGTCATTAATAAAGTCAGCTTTCACATTGATAAAATAAAATTATGTTAAATTATGAAAGTGTTGACAAATTCAATCGACACGCGCATGCATGGTAAAAAAAACATGTTACCTAATCTCTTGTCTTTTCCATACACATTTATAAGAGTCGTGAAGGTGGGCTGCAAAAACGTAATTTCGTGTATTTCAAAGGTGTTTGGTGTACCTAACCAAAATATATATTTATTTATGAGTAATATTATTTAAATTTAAAATTTTAACTCTATTTGTTAACTTGATGACGTGACCTCGTTAGAATCATTGAATAAAAAATAAATTTTAATATTTGAAGGGACTTACGATCAATCCAAAAGTCATATTGAATCAAGTCCCCAAATAAGGTCCGATTCTTAGGTCCAAACAACATTTCTCTTTATGCTAAAGACTTCCTAGCTAGTGTGATTGGGAGCATTCATTAACAGAGTAATGCTATTTACATTTAAAAATCTAACATGATTTGATGATCTAATGATATAACTTCAATAAAACTGTTAAATCAATATCAAGTTTTAAAGTTTGATGGTGTCCACCTTTTTTTAACAAATTGAAGACAGGTACCAAGTATTTAATTCATCTTTTTTTACATATTTTGATTATATGAAAGGAAGTGCAAACGATGTAACAACTCTTTAGAAAATAAAAAATGTAATTAATCAATAAGGTCATTAATAAAGTCAGCTCTCACATTGGTAAAATTATGTTAAATTTTGAAAGTGTTGACAAATTCAATTGACACACGCATGCATTGTAAAAGATGTCATGCGTGGTAAAAGAAATATGTTGTCTAGCCTCTTATCTTTTCCATACACATTGATAAGAGTCCTGAAGGTGAATTGCAAAAAGTAATTTCGTGTATCAAAGGCGTTTGGTGTACCTAACCAAAATATACATTTAGGTCCAAATAGTATTACTATTTATGCTAAAGACTTCCTAACTAGTACTACTCTAATGCATCATCTATATGATTGGTCTTAGAGCACACTACTAACAGGTACATCTCTCTCTCTCCCTCTCTTTATATATATATATATTGGTGCATATAAAAATTTGATGATGAACCCTTTTATACAGACAATATTATTTACCAAAGGGGTTCTTTCTCTCAGTTAAGAGTTTCTTGACCAATTAGAGTTGACATGTCGTGGAGGAATTTTCATTCTTTCATTTTAATGATTTAAAATTTTGAAAACGTGTATTTACGAAATTGTTCAAGTGCAACTTAGGAGGTTTGATTTTACTGAGAATGTGGTATATCTGATTTTAATGAGGCACATGTAGAAGCTGGATGTAAAAAGGAAAAAGAATAGGACTTGAAAGAGGTGGGTGGGTCCATAAGAAAGTAAACCCACAACCTGTACGTCTTCCTGTTTTTATGATTTTAAGCATGCGAGTTCAAGGAAGAAAAAAATGTAAGCGGAGAGTGGCCTCATGTGAAACGGTTGTGCAAGGTCAACTCCTTTAAGGGGAATCATAAAGAAAGAACATGTGAAAAAGATTGGATCCACGGTCCACTCGTCGAACACAAATCTGAAATGGCCACAACCACCATTAAGAACAAACTCACATCGGATTAAATAACTGGATATATACCCATGATGCTACTGCACATGGTGCTACTGCATTGTTATAAAGTTTTGTACTTGTACCAACCATAATTCATTTATTTAGAGGGTAGCACATGGCACCGATGCAAATTATATATGCATTATGAGGCAACGACACTCAAAAGTCATCATTCATTATATAATGACCAAGTTGCTTGGAGTTCATATAGACTTGAATATTATAATTCTTGGATTTTATGAAAGGAAAATGTTATACTATTCATATGAGACTCAAAAATTATAACTCAAATGCATATCATTCTTTGGATGAACGTTGGATGAGTGGGTCCTATTAAGAAAATTGATGGAATCCACTCATCCAAAAAATGACATGCATTTAGATTATAATTTTGTGAGATTTATTTGGATTATGTGGCATTACAAATTGATGAAAAGTCCCTCTCCTATAGTCAAAGCACTTTGCTAATTATAAACAGTTACATGCATGTAAGTGATGCATGCATGGTAAAATAAATAATGTCAGCTTTGTAATTAATCAGTAAGGTCATTTATAAAGTTAGCTTAAAGGTAAATTTTGTATTGAAAAGAAGTTATACATAAGCAAACAAAAGTACAACTAATGTTATCCATCAAAATAGAAAAAAATAACCAGAATCCAGAGAGAAGTGTAGAGGATACTCAGCACTACCCCAAGAATTTAAGTCCTAAGATTATACAAAAAAAATCCTCAAAAGGAATTATGCTAAGCAATTAAGAAGAAGATTCCATAGATGCAACATCCTAAGATTCTGGTTAGAGTATTTGAATTTAATAGACATGAGTTTGCCCTTGATTGCTTGTTTGAAGTGTTTGACAAATTCAATGACACATGCATGCATGGTAAAATAAGCATGTTACCTGGCCTCTTGTCTTTTCCATACACATTGATAAGAGTCGTGAAGGTGGATTTCAAAAAATAATTTCGTGTATCTCAAAGGTGTTTGGTATACCTAACCAAAAAATATATTTATTTATGAGTAATATTATTTGAATTTAAAAATTTAATCTTATTTGTTGACATGATAATGTAATTTTATTGAAATTATTGAATTAAAAATAAGTTTTAATATTTGATAGGACCACAATAAATGTAAAGGCCAAAATGAATCATGTAATCAAATAAGGTTTGATTCTTAGGTCTAAACAACATTACTCTTTATACTAAAAATTTCTTAGCTAGTGTGGTTTGGAGGATTCAATAGCAGAATAATATTATTTAGATGTGATTTCAGTAAAACTATTAAATCGATATCAAATTTCAATATTTTATAGTGTTCATAGTCAATTCAAGTATTATATTAAATTAAGTCCATAAATTATGTCATTAAATTAAGGTTGAATAGCATTGCCCTTAACTATAAAGCCGACCTACGAGATGTACCTCTCGGCAGAGGGAAAGTATACGTACACTATATACCATACCAAGGTGCTTGATTTACCCAGTTGTCATGGAAAACTCTCATTTACCTGACAAGAAGAGGAAGAGATCTCCTGACTCCATCTCCAACAATGGTGAAGAAGCTCACAACTATTCTTTCTACAATCCTTTTTCTGATATATCTTCACCTTCGTTGGACAATGGTGATGGCCACAACCACAAAAAGCCGAAAGCTATTGGCGGTTATTCGACCCCATCGCCCCCATCTAAACCAGCCGGTCGGATCAATTCCCCAGCCTTGAATTCCACTGGTTCCTCTCAAAGTTTCGTGACATCCACTAGCTCCAATCCCGTGGTAATGAAGAATCTTCCTCTTCCCAGCAAGCTGGATTTATCGGCCAGTGGATTACCAACAACACCATTGACAGTGGGTATGAGTTGGAATATTACGCTGAAAAGCAGTACTATAGTCCTTAATTAAAACGCTTAACAAAGGGCTTTGTTAGGTCTTTTATATTTGCTAATTCTTTTTTATGGTTTCTGTTCGTTGGTGCTATCAAATGGCTTTTCTCAGAAATAAATATTTGGTGCCTCTCTGGTTTTACTTACACTTGTTTACTTGTTCATCTCTCCTGGCTCTGCGTACTACAGATACAGTTCAAGAGAATTCCAACAGTGAAAGAGATCAGGATTTTATGGACTTGGTCTTTGCTAGGGGACGCAGATTGTTTCATCGTCCCACAACAAGTGAACTTCTCCAAGACTTTCGGGCACGTCTGCAGCCTATTCTTCACAATCGCCTGAGCCAACTGACAAGAATGGAGCCAACGTTCGAGGTTGGTCTTGAGATATCTGATTCCGCGTATCTCTTGAAGCTTTTCAAAGGTCAAGATTCAAATTTTGAGTTCGAGACCATTACCCAAAAAGCTGTCAGAGGAGCAGCGCTGTTGCAGCAAGGAGTGAAGCTGGTGAGAGAAGTGCAAGACCAGCTCAAGTTTGCCATAAATGATAAATCAGTCTCAGTGAACCTATGATCCTGAAATGTTTCCGAATCACAATTTGGTTTTTCAGCTGTAAGAGTAGTTTTCAACCGAGTGTTTGAAGTAGCTGCTAATAAGGAGATCTTTTCCACCATTACAAAAGATCTCTAGGTTTTACATTTGTATGTTTCACGGTAATGCCATTATTACCTTCTTCTTTTTTTTGCTTGCAAACTCATGTGATTAAGATTAATCGCTCGACTAACTTATTTGGTAATTCTTGATTCTCTTAAGATTAATTGCTTTTCTTGGACCGTCATAGTGCGTTAAAGCAATGACTTGTGATGTGGGTTTCCGCGTTTGCAATTTCATATGAGAAAAACCAACAATTACTTTGAACAATTCGTCAAAATTGTTGACTAGGTCAATCACCAGAACTTGGATGGATGCAAGCGTTTGTTGAAGAAACTTCAAATGCTATTGTCAGTTTCTAATATAATTCCAGCTGATGAACGAATGATCCAAAACTATTAACTGCAAACCCTGGCTCAAATAATCTGACAAACATGTCTAAAAACATCACAATTCTTAGTGTTAAACTCATGATATATAGAATGAACAAATTAATCCTTTCGTATTTTGTGAAAGATACATGTGATAGAGTTAAACTTAAAGGAGTTTCTCATTTCATCCTTAGCTACTTGAAGTGCAAACTCATGGTATCACTAATGTATACTTGATACTCAATCCTCGTCCCATCAAATTACGTAACCCCTTACACATTAGGCTCATACATATAATTTCTATCCATTGATTCCAAAAAAGTTATAAACACCTATAAAAATTAGGGTAAATGATGGGTTAAGCCCAAATAGTCCAATTTATGTGAGAAGTCCAACCCCAATTGAGGAGCCCAACCTCGTGAAAAATCCCCCAAGCTCAATATAGTCCAAGACCAATTAGACTCTTTGCTTAGCCACATCATCAAGGGAGAGAGCATGAGAAATTCTATCTGCACCACCGAAGGAAACGGTCCACTCTCACGTCATCTTTGACCGCATCTCATAGAGAGCTCCCCAACCTCCTTGCCCGTTGAGAAGAAATCGTGAGCTCCACCAGAATAATCTTTTAGTTGCTATAAAGTAGCCCCAATCTGTTAGGGGACTACTATAAATTACACGTCCCATCAACACTTGTGGGGGAGGAGACTGATTGCCTGATATCACACCTTCCTTGATTCTTCATTCTCCCTCAAAGCTTGTATTCTCTGTTCTCCATACCCTTAAATTAATAAAATACTTGGCAACTAGAGTCATTCAAGAGTGGACGTTGGTCGAGTTGACCGAACCACTATAAATCTTGTCTCCTCCAATTTTCTCTTTACTTTCACTGCATTTATTACTTACACTTGACAAGTGGTGTGCAAAACCATTTTTGTGCATCATTAGTTTTACGCCGTCTGTGGGAATGACAATAGAGTGCAGAAACAAATTTATTATGTGAGCAGGGCATACCGGGGGGCAGAGATCAGATATTCGGCACTAGAAAAACTGGCACTCGCTCTTGTCACGACGGCGAGAAGACTGCTACACTACTTCCAAGGCCACCGTATAGTGGTCATCACGGACCAACCTCTTAAAAGAGTCTTGGGAAAGTCGGACGTATCTAGCAGACTTCTTAAATGGGCAGTGGAACTCAGGGAGTTCGACATTCAGTACCACCCCAGGACGGTCATCAAAGCATAAGCCCTAGCAAAATTCATTACCGAACTCACACCAACAGAAATGGGAACGACGAGGATCCCCAAATGCCCAACGGGGACACCAAGAAGCCTAGCAAAGACCCCCAAGCAGGCGCTCAGGTTAGTTCAAGCGCCCAAGTCTCCTTCCCAGGAGCCCAAACAACTTTCTCTGATGCCCAAGCATCCCGGGCTGCACCTCCAGATGCCCAGGCATCACAAGCTGCACCTCCAGCTCCTGCATCACAGGCTGCACCCCAGATGCCTAGGCATCACAAGCTGCACCTCTAGCTCCTGCATCACAGGCTGCACCCCCAGATGCCCAGGCATCACCAAATGACCGGTCTTCCATTTCAAATTCCAAACCCCCCCACTCCTCTACTTTGAAAACTCTACGTAGATGCTCCTCGACCAGTGAAGGAGAGGAGCGGGCCTAATTTGATCAGCCCAGATAGCACCACTATCAGGTATGCGGTTAAGATCCACTTTAATGCTTCCAACAATGAGGCGGAGTACGAAGCCCTCCCTTTCTGGACTGAGATTAGCGATGGAAATGGAAGTTCAACACCTTGCCACTACAGCGACTCTTAGTTGATAGTTAATCAAGTGAGGGGCGAG